ATGATATCATTAATTTTACAATTTTCATTCATGTTTTCAACTTTTTGTGTAAATACTGAAATTTTGAACATATTTTTGTATTTTTCTATTTTTAAATTCTGCTGGAGAGACACTTGTCAAATTTTTTTTCTGCTGATACAAATATTTTGAAAATATTGCCTCTTTTGTTTGCAGTTTTTGTGGAAATTTTAACTCGTGGATTAAATGCGTACCTCGAATGAGAGAGAAAACAAAATTTACTTTCGTTTGAATGTACATACGCCATTCAACATTGTAGTTTTCATTCATAATTTTCAGTCATCCCAAAAATTTTTAAAATTTTATAAAATTTTTCTATTTTCAATTTTTAAATGTCATAATTTATTTTTTCGATAAATGCTCTCATTTGTTAGGGATGGCACATATTTCATCGTAGTTCTGATAGCATGTTTCCATTGGAAACCGAACAACGTTGTTCGCTCTCAGAATTAGGTACACGAATTAACCCGTTCATACGGCACGATTCGTAATTCATAGTAAAATAATTCCTTTTTTCAAAAAAATTGTTTGTTGATTTTAAAGGGAATGTATACGAAAATACATGAAATTCTCACTAATATGAATATAAGAAATTATTGTTTTTCTCCCAAAGATTTATTATAACATTAATTTTATAATTTTCATTCACGTCTCTAACTTTTTGTGTAAATGTTGACATTTTGAACATATTTTTGTGTTTTCCCATTTTTAAATTCTGCTGAAGAGACACTTGTCAAACATTTTTTCTGCCGATAGAAACATTTTGAAAATGGACCAAATGCGTACCTCGAATGAGAGAGAAAACAAAATTTACTTTCGTTTGAATGTACATACGCCATTCAACATTGTAGTTTTCATACATAATTTTCAGTCTTCCCAAAAATTTTTAAAATTTCATTAAATTTTTCTATTTATAATTTTTAAGTGTCATAATTTATTTTTTCGATAAATGCTCTCATTTGTTAGGGATGGGACATATTTTTTCGTTGTTCTGAGAGTGATTTGATTTGAACAACGTACAAATATGAGTGTTCGCTCAGGAAATTTTGTGTGAAGAATTAGGTAGTTTTTTCATAGTTAAGGGTCAAACAACGAATAGAGAGCGAATCAAGTGCAGTGGAAACGCCACATGAGAGTGATTTGAATGGAATAAAGAAAGAAATCTTTGTTCGCTCAGCAAATTTTGTGTGGGGAATTAAGTGATATTTCTTAATTATTTTTTTATTGTTTAATTTATTGAATCTTTCATATATTTAATGAAAATAACAATAAGGTTTCATATCTTATATACTAATATTTTTATAGGGAGGTTGTCAATACAATCACCCCATATTTTTTTCATGCTTTAATTATTATTGTTTTTTTTTATGATATAGATGTGTGTTATTTTGTGGGCTTGTGGATACAGTTATATCCGTGAATTGATTGAGTAGGTAGTTAAGATTAGTTTAGATACAGATATATCTAAGTGAATAGCGGACTACAGAAATAGTCTTACGGATATAATGTTGCTTTGTTTAGATACAGTTATATCTAATCATCCCGCGGACTACAGTAATAGTCTTTTCGATTTCTTCACAGAAGCAGCTTTAGCATACTACCTGTAGAAGTATAACAGTGGGCGACGTTCAATTGGCCAGACAAGAGCTGAAAATAATGAGAGCGTAAGACAAAAAAAAAATAAATAAACTATATGATAGAAAGAGTGTCACGTCTGCGCAGTCAATCGTGTCCTCCGAATAGTAGAAGTTGGCGGGCCAAGTTATTTGGGTGCTCGGATAGTTTGTTTAAGTACTTGCGGCAAAGCTTCTTTATTTCTTCTTCAACAGTAAGTATATTTAGGTCCTTGTGGATGTTTGCGTTCCTTATGTACCATGTTGCACCTGTAATAGATCGAAGAATATTCGACTGTCTTCTTTGTAGTTTACTTACGTTAGAGGCACTAGCTGTGCCCCAGAGCTGTATGCCATACGTCCAAATTGGCTTTATTATAGTCTTATATAATAGGACTTTATATTCTAATTTAATAGAAGAACGTATACCAATTAACCACTCAAGATTGGCCTTTTTAGTTTAATTTGTGTGATTTTTGCATCGATGTGTTGCTTCCATGTAAGTCTTCGGTCCAGGTGCATTCCGAAATATTTTACGGTATCTTTTTGTGGAACTTGAGTATTAAAGATTTTTATCGTGGGGCAAAGTTCAAGTCTTAGAGCAAAAGTAACATGTATGCACTTGCTTGCATTTACCGATATTCTCCATTTTGTCAGCCAATTTTCGAGAAGATATAAGTTGTGTTCTAGTACTTTTTTAGTAGTAAAACTAGCAGAAGAGAGAACAGTTCGAAATGTCATTCTCATTTAGGTTTGCTCAAAAAATAAGGGAACGGAAAATTAGCAGAAATGCGATAAAATGTCAAAATTCAAAATTCCAAAAGTAAACAGCCTAAATCGGACTGGTGAAACCTTACTGAAAATAGCGCCAACATTTAAAAAATGAGTATTGAAGACGATAAGTTAAAATTAATAATTTATAATAATAATTAATAATCTGATTCCTCATTCAGCCAGTCCTCTTCACTGCTGGAATCATCCAAAAGTGAATACATCAGTTGCTCCATATTTTCTCTTTTTGTTTTTTGCACGACAAATATTAGTTTTTCCTTTAGTTTTCAAGTTGATCATTTTCTTTATTGAAATGTATCAATACATTTTTCAACCTTGTTAGCCCTGCCAATTAAATGTCAAATTTACAATATGCACATTTCTCGGCCAAATTCATGTAGCTAAAACAAGCAGAAATGTGCAACACTCAGCGCCATTTTTTCGAGAGAGAGCTGCAAGTTTTGCTAGTTTTTGGAGTACGGGAACGCGTTGTAGCAGAATTAGTGCTAATTAGTACTAATTTGCAGGTTCTGGAACACAACTATACATGGTATTGTAGTTTTTCCGACGCAATCAGAGGATCCTTGTGTATGCTAATGAAAGCAGTATCATCAGCAAACGTTGAGGTTAGAGTTTCATTGGTTGTGGGCATATCGGCAGTAAATAACACGTACAGAATTGGTCCTAAGATACTACCCTGTGGGACGCCAGCCAATATTTTTCTCGAATTTGAAAGTATGTCTTTCGATTTAACAACAAACGTACGATTTGACAAATAACTACAAAAAAGTTTATGAGTGTTTTTAGGTAGAGTTTCACAAATTTTGTATAGAATTCCAAGATGCCAGGCTCTGTCAAACGCTTGGGAAATGTCTATAAATAGCGCCGAGCAGTACTCCTTCCTTTCGAATGCCATTCTAATGTTTGTGACTATGCGGTGCACTTGCTCAATAGTACTGTGGTTCTTACGGAAGCCGAATTGGTGGTCGGGGATAACATTGCTATTTGTAATATGGGGAGTTAACTTCCTTAGTAATGTTGTTTCGAACAACTTTGAGAGTATAGATTAATTAATGGTCGAACAACGAATAGAGAGCGAATCACATGCCATGTGAACTTAGCATAAGTGTGCCCGACTTCTCCCAATTTTGCGTATGTATTTATTGTTTGGAAAAATGAAAACAAAATATTTCCGCGCATTTAAGCTATTAACCAGTTTAGCAATGAAATTGAAACATTGAACAGATTGGAACATATTTTTAAGAGAAAATCAAGGCATTTCGTTCATTTGTCGCGCCATTTTAACTCATTAAAAAAAAAAAACAACAAAAACAACTAGTTGTATATAATTTTGAATGAGTCTTACAGGAAGCGAGTATAGTCTCAGGGCTGTATTTTTGTTGTTTGACGAAGCTATTCTACCATGGTACAATAAAAAGGTAAGGTAGAGCTCCCAGCTGATTACATTTTTTTTCTAAGTGTGCCCGACTTCTGCCAATTTTGTGTATGTATTTTTATTTTTTGTTTTGAAAAATAAAAACAGAATATTTTCAAAATCAATGATTGGAAGAAACTTAAATTGCGGGGCGCGCATTAATAATATTAACCAGATTTGCCATGGGATTGAAAGATTGAATACTTAGGATCATATTTTTGAGAGAACATTCAGACATTTCATTCATCTTTCGCGCTATTTGACTCATTTTAGAAATTAACAAAAAATATCAAATAAATGAAAACAACTTTTTGGATATAATTTAGAATATTTCTGACAGGAAGCGGGCATAGCCTCAGAGCTGTATTTTTGTAGTTTTACGAAGCTGTTCTACCTCCTTATTGTACCATGTATTCTACCTACTTATTGTACCATGGTGATGCTACTTTCAGGTGATGCTATAACATATCAGGAAAATTTCAATATTCAAGATAAAATTATTTTATGCCCCGCAAGAGTTTTTAATATATATTTTTTTTCATCCGAAAAACAACAGAATTTAAAATCTTGGCATAAACACAATTTTTTTTCTATTGGTGCCCTTATTCTGTCAAAATATATACACATTTTGTGAATGTGTTTGTATTGTTTTGAATAAAAAATACAATAATTTGAAATTATTTCAAATTTGTTTGCAAAATAAATAAATAACAGAACATTAAAGAATAAGAAGTAGGCACAGTTAGAAAAAATAATTAAACAGCTGGTGGAGCAACCACATTTTACCTTTTTATTGTACCGTATTATCCAAATATGCCAGATCTTTATCTTCAAATTTTCCTAATAATAATGTTGTTAAAATTTATATTTTTCAATTGTTCTATTTTCCACTCATAAACATCAAACACACAAAAAATAACAGTTCTGTGGTGTAGAAATTGTTCAACTTTTGTAGGAATTTCGGTAACATTCATATAAATTCATGTGTTTCGACCGAGTACATCGAATTTTAGGTAACAATGATAATTGATTGGTACCTGTGACCTACCATGATTTCGTTAAACCCTGCGGTGTACACCTTCTCATACGACTAGCGATGTTCCGCTTTTATCCTAACGTACAAGTCGATCTACATATCCCTGGACTGGAAGACATTTGGACCGGCGCAATTTTCCAACGCCAACTACAATTTGTTGCAATTCTATCAACTCCAGTGTTGTACCTTGTCGTACTTTGGGCAAAAGTTTAAAATAAATATATTTGTTTTTTATTAAAACAATAATACAATCGGCTGGCAGTGGTCTTTTCGGCACATCCAATCGTCCCGCGTCGATTACCACATGTAGTTAAACACTTATACAAGCGTGCAAATTTATTTCCACAACACAGCAACACTGCCTGGAAAGTGGAGGCAACTCTGAACATAGTGTAGAAAAAATACTAGCAGCAAAGAAAAAATTTTTTCACACACTACGGACTGAATTGATTTTTGTCTGCGATTAACTCTGGTGGAAAAAATCTTATAATGGCAAAGGTGAGTGTATAATTTTATTAAATATTGAAAGAATAGCCAATTTGCAATTAGCTCGTGAAGCAGATGTCCGTTTTTGCCGAAATTTCTAAAATTCTTGATTGCAAAAGTTGTGTAAAGAAAAATTCTCGACCACCACGAGCTTAGTTCGCAATGTAGTTGTGAGACCAAAATGTGTGTGTGAGTTTGTTGAAAAGTACGATCTTTGCCTTCCACTAGGGGCAATGTAAAAATAATTGTCGTAAAGTAAAATTTTGTGAAGTTTGCATTTTTATTTGTTCAATAAATCTTTGAGCAAAAAGGTAATCATTTACACGAAAAAGTATGCATCGAAGGGCATGAAGAAGCATCGTTGCATGGGAGAAGGTGGAAAATTGTGTTCAAGGACACAACGGGCCCCAGCAAAGGGAGCAAGTTGAGTTTAGGGGCTATGCTCGGATCATTTTGAAATTTTTACCGCAGGTAGGTATTTGTAACCTGATTACGGCAATGTAATTTTTTTGTGGGGGAAATACCCGGTTACCCGGTTATTCGACCCAAAAGTTCGAATACAACATCCGGTTTGTATCCGGTTCTACGTAACCGATATCAATAAAATGGGTATCATTTGAAAGCTTATGAAAATACCTATCCAACAAGTGGTCATATGACGGGGTTGCTGGAACCGGTTTCGGAGAAATTTAGGAAAATTTGCATTTTTGTATGAGTACTTTTTGAAAAACCTATAAAAACTCGAAAATGGACCCATTATAGGGTCTTAAAATCTATACACTATATTATAGCTAACACTATTGCCTTTCCAAAATGGTGTCATATGTGTTGATATCTTTTGTGGTTCCGTGGATATAAGAGATAGAATTCATTAAATTATATTTTTCTCCAGTCTAGATGCATTTGACTTTGACCTTTATAGCTTTTTTAAGCAACCGGCCTTCGGCCGGGGCTTAAGATTTTCTCCTCTGGGGTATGTCCAACACCGGCTACGCGATCCATAGTTTTTCTAAAAATTGTACATTTTGTAAGTAGCCGGCCTTCGGCCGGGGCTTAAGATTTTCTCCTCTAGGGTATGTCCAACACCGGCTACGCGATCCATAGTTTTTCTAAAAATTGTAATTTTTGTAAGTAGCCGGCCTTCGGCTACTAGCCGGCCTTCGGCCTTCGGAGAAAATCTTAAGCCCCGGCCGAAGGCCGGTTGCTTAAAAAAGCTATAAAGGTCAAAGTCAAATGCATCTAGACTGGAGAAAAATATAATTTAATGAATTCTATCTCTTATATCCACGGAACCACAAAAGATATCAACACATATGACACCATTTTGGAAAGGCAATAGTGTTAGCTATAATATAGTGTATAGATTTTAAGACCCTATAATGGGTCCATTTTCGAGTTTTTATAGGTTTTTCAAAAAGTACTCATACAAAAATGCAAATTTTCCTAAATTTCTCCGAAACCGGTTCCAGCAACCCCGTCATATGACCACTTGTTGGATAGGTATTTTCATAAGCTTTCAAATGATACTCATTTTATTGATATCGGTTACGTAGAACCGGATATAAACCGGATGTTGTATCCGAACTTTTGGGTCGAATAACCGGGTAACCGGGTATTTCCCCCACAAAAAAATTATATTGCCGTAATCAGGTTACAAATACCTACCTGCGGTAAAAATTTCAGGTCAATCCAAGCATAGCCCCTAAACTCAACTTATGCCCAGCAAAGTGTGTGCGTACGTTTGTGTGCGCCCCTTTTCGTTCTCAGCCGTTTCATTCGTTTGCATTTCACTCGAGAGATTATAATAATATACTACGAATGTTCTGTCTGTCTGGTGGCTCTCTGTCCATGCATCACTCGTGTCAAACAAAAATGATAATTGTTACGGGAGTAGGGCACATAGAGGTAATGGGGTCGTAAGAGGATTTAAGCCCGTTTCCCCGTTTGTATAGCAGTAGCAAATCTGGTGTGTGTTCTTATTTTTGTTCTTCGTTGGTAGATTACAGACATTGTCGTGTGCATCTGCATGGTATATTCTACATGATGTTTTTACGATTTCAAACAAAAAGTTGTCAATTGCATTGGCCATGACAAGGTAGAATCTGTTTCCCTAGCTGACAAATTAAAAAAAAAAAAATGAACTATTTATTAAAGATATTTAAGGATTTGCCCTACCCACTATATAAAGCGAATTATCGACAGAGCGGACTTCTGAGTAGTGTATCGGTAATTGGTTGGCTTGAGTATTCTATATATTCCACTGGATATGCGGCTTTTACGTTCCGAAAAACATAGGCAGTCGCAGACATAAGACAACCTACGAGAAGTTTTTGTAAACATAAACTCAAGCATGTGCACAAAATCTTACGGCGTTCAACTATGCGCTTCTATGAGCCTTCATTCTCTGGGAATTATGATTATTTCCATTTCAAAATAGGTTTGCTCGAAGATACGAATTGGAATGGAGGAAATTAACCTATGGATCAAAGAAAGGCAATGTCGTAATTACTCTTTGATGATTATATAATTTATGGGGAAATTAGAGTGCAGCCTTTTAGGCATTACGATTGAATATTTAAAATGTTCGTTGGACGTCAAATGTCTCTTTTCATTGTTGAAATTCGTTATCATATATTACACATTACATCCTGCTAAATGATAAATTTCTATACAGCAACAGCTATACAGCTAATGTTCACCTAGAGGCTGATTTTCAAATTGCATCATGTTGCACCTAGATACTGATTTTAAAAACGCATAAAGGCGTTAAATGAACCATATTAACACCATATTTCGCTTTATATATCGAAACATATCTTATTGCTTGAAAAAGAAATTTCGTTTACCAATTTATCATGTATTCAATTCCTTTCCGTTGTTCGAATGGGTAATGTTGGACAATGTAGCCATGTGGCCATATGGAGAAATGGCAGTATAATGTGGTATTCTGGCTACTTTTTATTCAGAGTTCACTTATTGTTATAGAATGGACTGGGGTCTAGGACTAGGGTGTTTTTAGAACTTCGGTTCTTTTTCCGAATTTTACATTTATACGATGTTTTACATAGAACTTCCAGAAATACTAAACAAAGTATGAAATATGGGACATCCGAAGCCTATCGTAATAAAAAAGTTTTGGTATTAAAAAATATTAGGCAGAACATTCTGTGTCGCAATACGATGCTAAATCAGGGTTTAAAGCTAGGTTTCAACAATTTGCAAGCAAAGCTAAAGGAAAGGTTAGTGAATTTGTGGAATTTGAAGGCTAAAAATCCATTTTGATTTTTTTTTTCTAGGGAATAAACTATAAAAAATGCCATACCGTTAAAAAAGTATAATAATAGCGAATTTCATTTTTTCCTATCCCTTATAATCTCGAGTTTCAACCTTTGGCTTAGCTATAACATTCCATATATTCGCCAAAGAATTACTTCAGTTTACCTGTACTTTATAATATGAAACCTAGTTCGCATATATATGAAATATCATAAAAATAAAATATCGAATGTTCCCAGCACTAATCTTTCCTAAACCAATCGGTTTGAGTTTAGGACAGGGCAAGTACTACCAATTTGGATGGTAATCGAATAATAGTAAGCAGATAAAAGAAAATTAAAAAAAATTGCTGAAAGTCACTTCCCACCTACATGAAAGGTAACTTCTGACCTACGCTTGCATGGCTATATGAATTAATTTCAAGAATGAAACAAACTAACATAGACATGCACAAATTCAGAAAGGTTTCCCGATCTACAGAAACGTTATCGCAAATTATAGTGGTGTAGAACATCACATGTTCGGTCCAGCTCGACTAACCGGTTCTAAACCGAGCAATCATGTGATAAATCAAGAATAATAAAACATATAGAGCTGTAAATTGCTGTGGTTGAGATAACTCAGTGAATTGTCATTTTCTCATTTTGCTGTCATTGACATAGCCTCTATGGTTGTACAATTCTAATAATTTTGTAATATTAATCCTTTATATTTTTCTTGCAGAGTCTGTAAAAAGGGGACGGAATAAAAAGTGATATATGCTTTTCAAAAGAGTGTGGAGAACAAAATCTTTCGATAAGATCAGAAGACGTGTCTTTCAGCAAGTCAAAAGTAATCATCAAGCATAAATAACAGCACAGTTTAGTCAACATATTTGCGAGTAGGAATAAGTTTATCCTCCAGTGAAGTGGACTGCGCTAAGCGAGAGGCTTAATTGTTTTGCAAGACCTAAAGCAACGATAACGAACAGAAGAAAACGGGTCTTACTTGATTATCAGTCAATACAATAAATAATTGTTTAATGAACTATAAAGTTATTCAACCAAAAAGTATATTTGCCTTTTAACAACTTTGGTACAACTAATAATTAACATTTTGGCAATTCTTGAAACGCTTTTCATCAAAGGCTATAAAGGCGAAGTTAAATTAAAGAAGTACAAACATCTACCGAAAACTAGTAAAAGTTCTCCGCATAATATAAAAACACAGAATATTTTGGCGTTCGACTAATTGTTGCTAAACTTCATCATCTCTTTAACATCAAAGATTTGTAACTTCAACTCAAATACTAGGCGGCGTCATCTTTGTTCCAAATCACGATCAAGACCAGCACTAAACTCAGTTTAGACATACAAAAATAAAACGTCTACGATCTCTTGTACCTATCTGATTGAATTATTCTGTGTCACGTTTTAAAGAGGCTTCATATATGGCAACTATAGAGGATTTTGTGCCACATATCTTAAAAAGCACCACCGTCACTCCCAATCCTTCGTCTGTGGCACCAATCATTGCCAACACCGCCGACGCTAATAACTGCACTTTTACCTCTGTCTTGGAATCGTCTTCTATAACGGCTGTTGCTAAAGCGTTGGAGGCATCAAGCTTTATCACCTCCTCTTCTAGTGCTTCCACTGTGGATTCTATCGTTGACAAACTTGTCAATTCGTTGGATTTGAACGACTCTTTAATATCCAACAGTTGTAACCCAATAGCAAAGGATTTGAAGAGCATTTCGTCCCGTTCGTCCTCAGTTGCCGGCAGCTTGTCGTTAGGCGGGCTGGGCGGTGGCAATATGTTTAGTGAGGTCTTCGAAAGTAACGTGGGCTCTGAGCTGGAATCGGGCTCGTTAGAGGACTCGTCAGGCTCCTTAGGTGACGGCGATGTCGACAAGAATTGTAAGATTTGCAGGTACAGTATTTTTTGTTGAGTTTTATAAAGCCTTAAATTAAACGTGTGTATTTGTTTTTGTTATTTCTTCAGTTCCCGTTTGCAATCACCTCGTGTTCTCTCTTGCCTTCATGTCTTTTGCGAGTCTTGCCTGAACAAGTTGTTGAATGAAGACTCGTCGGGAGGAAACCTTTCATCATCATCTTCGACATCTTCGGTTGGGGGCGATCTTGTACCACTTCATAACTGTTCTGGAAAATCGCAAATTAGATGTCCAATATGCAAGCAGATAACTATGGTAAGTAAGATTATGTGTGATATTTTTGGCATTAGAAATTGCTAATTTACTCAATACATTGTTAGCTATGAAAAAATAATGTTCTATTACAAAACATTGTTGTAATGATGATTAAACTTATGCATATGCCTTTGTTTAAATTTATGATTTTTAAAAATTCGTTCTAAGAAATCTTAGTTTTTAGACATTTTCTGTTTTTTAGTCTGAATCGGTGTTTAATAAACACTGTTTATTAGCGATGAAAAAATCATAGCAGGTTACAAAAACAAACGATTCATATCTCGAAGAATTTTTAAAGCCTCAAACTTTTATTAACTTGTTTCTTGGTCTAAACAAGACAAAGCCTTTAATGTGCTTGCGTAAATGTTCTTCGGCCACACTTTGTCGATATCACGAACCGCTATATAAAGTATATTATACACAATAATGGAAACTCTCTATTGTCCCCAGTGTAATGAAGACTAAAAATATTATTTTTTAGAGAAGACATTATTAAATTTTGCTGAAACAAACAAATCAATTCATGCGGATTATTTACGTATAAAGATCTAGGCCAAATAATATGAAGACATAAAATAAAAGTTAAATTTTATTTGACGGCCCTTTTATACACTAAAATACTTGTGAGTGTTATTACTAAATATGTCTTCTTTTCGATTCCATTATAGGTTGGACCTAATGGCGTGCAATCTTTGACATGTGATTACATACTTACCAATATTTTGGACTTGGCCACTATTGAGTCGGAACAATTGTATTGTACTTCTTGTAAGAGCAAGGAGAATGCAATTTCCCGTTGCAATGATTGTGCCAATTTCTTGTGCAGTGGTTGTGACAACGCTCACAAATATATGCGTTGTTTTGAAAACCACGAAGTTGTCAAGTTGGAGGACTTGCAAAAGACTTCGGACGGCGACAAACCATTGATTATACACAAACCCTTGTACTGCAATGTACATACATCGGAGAATCTCAAGTATTATTGCTTTAATTGTCAAATACCGGTATGCAATGACTGTTTGATTGCCGACCACAAAGGCAGCGAGCATCACTATGATATTATTGCGTTGGCTGAGAAATCGGTGCGCGGTGATGTTGAGAACCTAATAAAGGAGGCCAAATCAAAGGTATGTCTTAGAACCTTTCAAACCAATGCTTTTGTTTCTTCGGATTTATGTGTGTGTTTTCGTTATCGTTTTCTCGCAGGTGCAATATTGCGATGACGCAGACGCAAATTTATGTAGCGCTCTCAATGAGCTACAATCTCAACATGATTCGGCACGCGACCTCATCCAAGAAACTTATGAGAATTACAAGAAAATCATTGAGAAATGTCGCGACCAAGCTTTGGTGGAACTGAAAAAACTGCATTCCGAACGAGTTTTGAAGATAATGGATTTAATGCAGAATATACAGAATACTATGGGCAAGATTGACAACACTTGTAAATTTACCAACCGCGTTCTGGAGCAAGCAAATGCAGCAGAATTTCTGTCGATGAAAAAACTAATTGCAACTCAATTTATCAATATGATTAATACAACTCCAAAATGCGATATAAATTATTCCTTGACATTCGATACTAAACCGGAAAAGTTTGAACAACTAGCTCAAGAAACGTTTGGCAAATTTCGTACCGAGTCGACACCCCCATCGCCAAAGGAAAGCACACCTCCACCTACCTTACCTGGTATGCCACCGAACATGATGAATGGTCGTGTTGGTAGTGGTGGAAACGGTAGCATGAATTGCTCCAACAGCTCACAGAGTCAGTTGACAAGCTCCGTTACAGCTAGCAGCCCCATTTCTTTGCCGACTTCCATGCAAAGTTCATTTGATGGCGATATCTATGCCAATGCCTTGGGCAATGGTTTTATGATGTCCAATGTACTTACACCAGACTCTCCACCACAAGGTCAATCCGCATTATCTCATCATCATCATCAACTGCAACACCAGAATAGCACTTCCTCTCACCACAGCAGTGTTAATGGGTTTAATAGTATGGGATCCATTGGGCCTGGTAATGGAAATAGTCTAAACAACAATTTAGCTAATTCCTCACCCGGCTTCAATGGATCTCTTGGCAACAGTCAGTTGGGCGCAGGACCAGGAGCTTCGCTGATCGGCCCTCAAGGACTCAACGGCTTAAATAACACTGTTCCTTCAAACGGACTAAGTGCTCTAAACAATCCTCTCAACAATAGTCTTTCAGCTGCTGTTGGTGGTCCTTTGGGTGGAAATACTGGAGTCGCCGCAGTCCCACCACCAGGGGGTTACAACAGTATTCTCGAATACAATTTATCACGTCTTGCCAGCCTCACTGAAAATACGCCGGATTCTCTAACGGATGCCCTGGTTGGCTCTCCAAGTGGACCTACTGCCCAATCAGTAGTGCCAGCAGCTAATGCACAGAATCAACCAATTACCCTAGCCGATATTCTCTCTGGCGATCAGCGCGCTTTCAATAATTTGCAAGCTCTTGCGAAACTGGGCTTAAATAACAACGGTAAGTATTGACAAAAATACATTAGATCATCTATGCCATTCCCAGTCAGTAATCCTTATGTCGTGTATCTTCTTTTTTTATTATTTTTTATTTATGAGACTTATATTAAATAAGTTTATAATCAATGTTTAAAGTATGATATTCTTCAGTGGGCATGCCTTAGCTCTCCTAAATTAAATACATATCTTTATTTTTATATGCATCGATGATGTTAGAATTCTAGTTTGTCTCTTATATATACCTTCCAGTTACAAGGAATTCTGGGGCTAAATCCACATATGATTTAGTTTTTGGTGTTTTTGTTTTACCTCAATTCTTCCTTTGAGGGTGTTTTCATAGTTGAAACAAATCGCAAAAGTGGCAGCTATGTTGCGTATGAATGCTCGGTAGAAAAAATTTAATAGGTTTTGAATTGATTCCATTTACCTATAGTGCTATACCGTAAATAGCTAACGACGTAATTGCCGATAGCTAAACATTGAAATTTTATCTAATTAACCGCAATTGTGGGAACTATAAATTCAAGAATTAACTAATTTTGCAATAGTTTTCGAAATCATTTAGGGAAAATCATTTTTCGTAGTAAACATTTTTTTACATTCTTGCAGTTCTGAAACAGAACACATGTCTATAATAAAAAAAAAAACAAGGGGGTAAGGCCTTTATAACTAGTTTCCCATTTTTTAACATTTTGTATTATTTTATTTAATTTAATTTTTATTTTAATCCTTTCTTTCTTTCGTTCTTTTTTATTTTCTATTTTTTAACCATACAAAAACCAATATACCCCACCAACATCCATGATCCACCACCACCATCACTACCGTTCCAAATACTTGCTGTCGTTATAAAAACGTACAATTTCAACATATTTTCTTCTACACGTTTGCACTAATATCGTGTGGCGGATAAATACTTATTTCCCACCAAAATGCCACTGGCTAACAATATACTACATACAAACTTATTGTACACAACAATTATATTGTGATAAATATAAAACGTATAACTGATTGTTTGTTATTGTTGTTGCTGATGGCACGCGTGTTAATCAATAATTGCTATTTTGTTATGAATAAATGAATATTGTTGTTGGCATATTACAAGTAGATTTTCACACAGACATGACAAGCAATCAGCTATTAACGAGTGGACCCTCACCAACTGGATTTGATTGTTTATTACCAGATTACTGCCTACCCACAGCACCGTCGCCAAGTTTGCCAAATTTGCCTCCATTGTGTCCAGGCGCTGGGGCTGGTGGTTCCGTCGATGATATGAGCATAACTAGCTTCCATGCCCCGCAACAACCTCAACCAACGGCTACAAGTATAATAACGGGTCGCAACAAGGCAACCCCAATGCAGATACGTTGCAAGTTTGGCTCATTGGGAACGTCCAAAGGACAATTTAATTCTCCACACGGTTTTTGCTTGGGCGTTGATGAGGAAATTATTGTAGCCGATACCAACAATCATCGCATCGAGATCTTTGATAAATCTGGCAATTTGAAGTTTTACTTCGGAGTGCCCGGTAAAGAGGAGGGGCAGTTATGGTATCCCCGAAAAGTTGCTGTTATGCATACTAACGGCAAATTTGTGGTGTGCGACCGTGGCAATGAGCGATCTCGGATGCAGATATTTTCGAAAAGTGGTCATTTCATGAGGAAAATTGCCATAAGGTATGTCGTTTGCACAGTTAACAAATTATGCACATGCAAATATGTTTTGGTTTTTCCCCATTAGATACATCGATATTGTTGCCGGTCTGGCCGTCACTTCTAAAGGCCACATTGTCGCCGTTGACAGTGTTTCCCCCACGGTGTTCGTAATTTCGGAGGATGGAGAATTGGTACGCTGGTTTGATTGTAGCGATTATATGCGCGAACCTTCAGATATCGCAATCAGAGGTAATTATATCTGCCCATTCATTTAGGAATCTACAGCAAGACGGAATTCTAATCGTGTACATTTTGTTCCAGACAATGACTTTTACGTGTGTGACTTCAAGGGCCATTGTGTTGCGGTCTTCCATGAAGATGGTACATTCCAGTATCGTATAGGCAATGAAAAAGTTACCTGTTTTCCGAACGGAATTGATATTTCTAATGCTGGCGATATTTTGATTGGCGATTCTCATGGAAATCGATTCCATGTTGCTTGTTATTCACGTGATGGTGTTCTTCAGTCAGAATTCGAGTGTCCACATGTTAAGGTAATTACAAAATTATATATCTATGTAACAATACAAACAATATTTTATCGTGTACAAAAGGTTTTTTTTCATTTTGATTAACATCATTTAATTGACTCGATTTCTTGAGAACTGAAATTGCAGGCGGGTTACAATGAAGTGTAGTACCGAATTATGTGGCGGCGAAACTGAATAGATGATGTCGAAATAATTTAAAGCGGTCACACCAAACTTAAAGGATAATTACTTTTTTAAAATCCCTAAAAAACACGAAAAAATTAAAATTGCAAAAATTATAAAATCGGGAAAAAATCGAGAACATTTTTTTCAATGGAAACGAATTTCAAAATAGTAGTACATTCTATTGACAAACTTCGTAACGACCTTGAAACATTTGCTGTAGAAAATCAGCGAACAAGTTGAAGTTTTTTTCTTTTTTCCTTTTGTTTTTCTTCTTTTGTCAATTTTATATAATACACGATTTTTTTTTCAATTTGGCTTATGTTGAATACAATATTTTTTGTGAACAAAACAAAGAATTATTTTCACCATATAAAATAAAGTTATGTTAGTTACTATGCTTATAACTCAAGAACGGCTTGCCGGATTTTAACAAATTCGTATGAAATGAAAATATGCCATTAAAAATGTGAATGAAAACAATTTTTTGGCTTGAAATTTTTTCTATTTGACATACTATATTGAAGTGTACATTTTTTATTGTTTTGAATTGTGAATAAATAAAAAAATGGCATCTAGCTTTAAACTCCAGTACCTACATCGTGCTTCAGCTGGAAGATGCGAACACATTTAAACAAACAAAAGTGACCGACAAAGCGTTATGGGGCTCATTTCAAAACGTAGACCTACTTCTCTCATATGACAATAATCCGTCCAATGAGAACTCAAAATGCAAACAAAAATGCAAATTTAGTAAGAAAAGGATTTCTATCTCTCCAGAAATTCTTCCTAAACTTTCAAGATACCTTAACTCGCATTTTCAGGTCATGATATGGGTCATAACCCCCGAATTCGTTTTCTTGCACGTTTCACATTTTAACCATATTTTTCATACTAATTTCCGGAAATGTTGGCAATTTGAGAAGAAACCATCCTTACAAAATTTTTTAACGTTTTGTACAACCATCATATGATTTAAGTTATTTTCGGACTCTTGAAGATTTTTTTTTTATTTTTTGATCCCTTATTTGACAACTTGGTTTCTCAGGGGGTAGAAAACCTCTTCGCATACAATATGACATAAACTCCGCAACTCATTTAGTTGGAAATTGTGACAGAAACATGAAAAAATTGGGAATATTTGAAAGTAGCACGGGACCGAACATTTGTTTAATCATCGTTGAATTATTCTATGATGAAATATGAACTTCAGGGGTCTCCTACGCATAAGACAGAAAAATGAATTCCCATCTTACGGTAATGGGTGTAAAAGAGTAATTATCTTTGACTATTCTGAAATCATTTTGCCTTAATTATGAGGTGGACAAAACTAATTACCACGCAGTACGGTGTTCTAAACATTGGAAAAAACAAATTCCAAATTACAGCTCATTTGAATGAAAAATGTTGCTAAGCTCTTTGCAATAAAAAACATTGAGCTGTGTTTTGACATAGGGCTATTATATGTGTTCTATATCATATAGGCTTTTAACACTCAAAGCCTATGGCTGAAAAATAAGGTCAGGCTATTCAAAATATCTAAAACCGACGGTTTTATAATTTTTGCATTGAATATTTATTTCTATTTAGAAATTACTATGGAGTCATTATTTATAATAAAAATTGTGTCAGCTAGTAGAATATATATAAGAGTACTACCTTAATATAGTGTACAACCTAAGATATACAATGGAAGATCAGAACGCGAAAACTGTTCCGTTACGAAGATATAAGAAGTGTGTGTTTTTTAATCACATATTTTTAGCATATTTTGGCATATTTAAAAAAAAATGGCTACAGACCTTCTTTTCATTATACCGATCGACTCGTTCTCTGGGGCCCGAATAGACGGTTGTTATTGAATTTTCATCGGAAACATACAAATGATAAAAATCAGGAATACCTGGATTCACATTTACGATGACATGGGATATTTGAAGTCAAACGATATAATTTTTAAATTTTTTGTAATTCTATTGAATGAAAGCAGAAAATGTCGGAAATAGCTTCAAATTTTGGAATAAGTTTAGATTTGTTCGAATTGGTCACTTTTGGCACGAATTATGGCCTTCAAACGGCCAATGAAACTGCGGTATTTTGGCCCGTTCCCGGCGAAGCGCTTGCTTGAGGTGATCGACAATTTTGTATTTTTTAGTGCCAACCTGCTTTTCAAAATACTCTAGACCCAATTGTACAACGGATTGGTATCCGGAGATTTTGGTGGCCATTGTGCGCTGGAAATGAAGCGAGGAACCTCATTTTGTAACCATTCTTGGGTGGCGCGTGTTGAGTGCGATGGTGCTGAGTCCTGTTGGAATGTCCAAGGTCTGCGGCTAAAAGGCTTTAATACAGCCTCCAGAGTATTTTCGCGATAATATTCGGCATTTATTCTAATGTCACGGTCGATTAATACGAGCGGAGAGCGACCATCATCTATTATGGCGGCTCACACCATCACCATGGCCGGCGCTTGAGTTCTGGTGGCCAACGGAAGTTGCACATTTTCAGCTGACCTCTTTGGTCTCATTGACCTCATTTTGTTTGTCTACAAACTAATGTTTTCTCATCGGAGAAAACCAAATTCGGCAGTTCACCACTTTCGGTCAAGTGAAGCAAAACTTTGGCTCTTTTAAGTCTATTTTATTTCTGTTGCGGTGTAAGTTCTTGCACTTCTTGGAATTTCAATGGCTTAATACCGATCTTATTTTTCAAAATTTACCGAATGGAATATTGCGATATGTTCAGCTCACAAGCCATTTTTCGGACACTGCGACGCGGGTTATGCTATGTCAAGTTGCTTCTTTACTTTTCGAACCATTTCTGCTGATGTTGCTGTTTTCTTCCGTCCACTTCCTTGACGTCGGGCTACGCTATCACATTTCCACCCAAATATAAAGAAATCACACTATCACGCTTGAATTCCATCACGAATAACTTTTTTCTGGAGAATTTTTACCAAAAGGCTTTTGTACGCTTGTAAACAATATATTGAACTGTCACAGGAATAATTTCAACAGCAAATGACAGCAGTCTGAAGTTGGTTGCAGCTTTTTCATCTCACCCTGTGTAGCTGAGTGCTACCGGACGCGTCCACATGTTACGAATTAAATAAGCAGTATCGGGCACCTCAGCGGTTTCCGGGGAGAGTCTGGGATTTAATTCCTGAGTGCCCATGATCCCAGGAATCGATGAGGCGAAGCCACTGGCGCCGCCTAACTAACCAGTGAACAGAATGGTCCACCGCAAACCGAATCCCAAACGCTGGGGTGTGCCCTTCAGTGTTCCAAGGTTTGCAGTAAGGGTACCCACTATTTTTAATTAGAATTCCATCAAAAGCCAAAAAGCAAAAGACTACTTAGATCGCTCTACATCTGGCCCAAAATGACTTTTTTGGGGAACACCAGATTGAAAGACATTGATCGATTTAGATTGACAAGTTTCAAATATAGCATTTTCAGATTAAATGAAACCTTTTGCAATTCAAATGAAACTTTTTGCAGCGGGAATGAAACCTTTTGCAGTGGAATTGAAACCTTTTGCAGTGGAAATGAAACCTTTTGCAGTGGAAATGAAACCGTTTGCAGCGGAAATGAAACCTTTTGCAACCGAAATGAAACCATTTGCAACCGAAATGAAACTTTTTGCAAATCAAATGAAACTTTTAAATTTATAGAAGGAAAAATAACAAAATATTTTTATTTTTAGTAGTTTTTAAATGAAATCAATTAATAATTAATAATAATATAACTAATATATTGACAAGGAGGATTTTTTATTGATTATAAATATATACATTTATTTATATTATTTCTTAAATTTTCAATTATTGTAATAACAAATGGTTCTTTATTGATTTGATATAAAATGCTTCCATATTATTAAATTCCAAATGCTTAATGCTAAAAAGAGAAATTTAAACAAATTTTGCCCTTTATAGGTATGGCCAGGACTGAAATGTGAAATTATTAATCTTACCTAATAAAGGTAAGTCGTGATTTCAAAAGATAGATAAGTGGAAATCATTAAATCAACTATGATCATAATTGTATATACTTTATGGGGTCTACGACGAATATTTAGAGGTGTTACAAACCGAATGACAAATTTAATATATCCTCTTTTCCATGGAGGAGATTATAAAAAGATACCTAATTCGGGTCCTTTGAAAAAAATACCTTGAAAAACTTTTTTCAATCTTTCTGCATCTACTCTTGTGTATTATGGAAGCTTTAAGAAAAAATTTTATAAAAACATAAATATTAATAATCAATAAAAACTCCTCTTTAACTATATATTAGTTATAATTAGTTAATTTAATTTTAAACGTACTGAAAATAAAAATGTTTTGTTATTTTTCCTTCTAAAAATCTAAAAGTTTCATTTGATTTGCAAAAAGTTTCATTTCGGTTGTAAAAGGTTTCATTTCGGTTGCAAAAGGTTTCATTCCCGCTGCAAACGGTTTCATTTCCACTGCAAAAGGTTTCATTTCCACTGCAAAAGGTTTCAATTCCACTGCAAAAGGTTTCATTCCCGCTGCAAAAAGTTTCATTTGAATTGCAAAAGGTTTCATTTAATCTGAAAATGCTATATATCTTTCAGGGATCAAAAGGGTGAGCTCCATAAAACCCGAGTTCTATTGAAGTCTATGTCTTAAAATCTTTTACGAAAAATTAATTCTCGAATAACTTTGGAATGACACTCAAATTGGGTAAATCCTCTATAATTGAAAACATGCTAAGCTATCATATTTTTAGGGACTCCATTCAAATGAAAATTAATACATGTAGGGGAATAATTATACAAAAGTGTTTAAAGGCCTGACCGGGAAAACCATCCGGACCCGAACTTTTTTTAATGCTTTTCAACCACGCAAACTAAAAACTAATTCAGGGTTTTTATTGTCGAAATATGTATTACATATTTTCAACTTGAAATACACATGGTTTAGAGAATGTTATCCCTTTGAACTAGATTTAAACTGATGTACTGATTTTGCAGAACAATTGATAGTTGTTAATATTCGCGATATTAATTTTCTTTTAACCGGATGAATATTTGATATTTTGGACATAAAAATCTGTTCAGTATTTCTTTTTTATTTTAATATATTCACTTGTTTATCGCATCTGCCATATAGGTGTATGACAATAACAAATCTGCCGGAACAGACTATTTGGAGGTGCATTGATGGTATATTAAGGTCGCAGAAGATGTTTTATGTACCAAGGTCCAGCTATAATAGATCGAAATCGTCTTTACGTTAGAGGCATTAGGCGTGATGTAGCATTAGAGAGATGTATGCAAAATCTTAAGTAAATATATACCCAAACGAAATTAAAACACGTAGCTTCAATTGTCGACTTAAAAATAAAAAAAAACAAAAGTTTCAGGTCTGGATATGGTACGTTCTTGAGTCTCGTATGCCTTATAATGATAATCTAGACAAAGTGAGCATAAACTTCAGCCAAGTTCTTTTCGTTAACTTATTCAAAAATCATTTCACGCATATGAGATAACTCAGTCAAAACAAGTACTTATCCCACAACCATGATGATGAAGCTTGGAAATGTACCATATATTGGTTTCCTCTGGTGCCTTTTTCTCCTGAAAATGTAATGTTGAAAATGTAAATAAAATATATGCATCTAAATTAAAAATTAAAACTTGCACATCGTAATATGTATAATTCATATTTGGTAAAATGTACAGGGTGAGATAAAAAAAACTGCAACAAAGTCAAACGCCATCATTTTTAAATTTTTTTTAATTTAATTGAATAAAAGCAAAACATGTCGGAAATAGCATCAAATTTTAGAATAAGTTTAGATTTGTTCGAATTGGTCACCTTTGGCACGAATTATGGCGATCATTTTGTTTGTTTAAAAACTGCTGGACAGCGAAAGTTTTCTCATCGGAGAAAACCAAATTCGGCAGTTCACCACTTTCGGCCAAGCGAAGCAACTCTTTAGCTCTTTTGAGTCTATTTTATTTCATTTGCGGTGTAAGTTCTTGCACTTCTTTTGTGAATTTCAATGGCTTTACCCCGAGCTCATTTTTTAATATTTGCCGAATGGAATATTGCGATATGTTCAGCTCACGAGCCATTTTTCGGCCACTGCGACGCGGGTTTCGATCGAGTCGCTTCCGTACTTTTGTATCAGTATCACGGTAACGAGCGATGGTACGCGTCACATAAGATTTATGCACATTTAACGAAAGTTTTCTCTTCGGAGAAAACCAAATTCGGCAGTTCACCACTTTCGGCCAAGCGAAGCAACTCTTTAACTCTTTTGAGTCTATTTTCTTTCATTTGCCGTGTAAGTTCTTGCACTTCTTTTGTGAATTTCAATGGCTTTACCCCGAGCTCATTTTTTTGCCGAATGGAATATTGCGATATGTTCAGCTCACGAGCCATTTTTCGGCCACTGAGACGCGGGTTTCGATCAAGTCGCTTCTGTACTTTGGTATCAGTATCACGGTAACGAGCGATGGTACGCGTCACATAAGATTTATTCACATTTAAATGCTGAAATGCCCCAAAGATAACCACTTGTGGTTTTCCAGCCCAAAATAAAGAAATCACACTATCACGCTTGAATTCCAATACGAATAACTTTTTTTCTGGAAAATTCTCACCAAAATGCTTTTGTACGCTTGTAAACAATATAATGAACTCTCACTGGAATAATTTTAACAGCTGTCGGACGAGTGGCTTAGAAATGACAGCAGTCTGAAGTTGATTGGTTTCTTCATCTCACCCTGTATTTGTGATATTATTGTTAGATTCCATAACAGCTTGCCAAGTTAAAGATCGATCCGTATTTTTATAAGTTATTACAGATATAACAAATTTTATATATTGTCCCCAATAAAGCAAACGTATGGACGTCATCGCCTCAAACCCATTGTCATAACATGCAATGGCAAACAAATGTGGATGTTGAAATTTTATCAACCTACTTCATTTCGTCCGGAAGTAAGAGTGATTTTCACAGACGGGTGGACATCGAATTTTGTGCCGACCAAGAATATATGTGGTTGTGGTCTCTAAAGTTTATGTCCATCTACGAGCTGTTTCTTCAAAATTAGGAATTTGTGATAGTAATAGTGTGAACCACTGAACCGAACCAACCCAAACCGACAAGTGGTTCACAATGCCAAGATCTTCCCCAAAGTTTATGCAGTTGTAAGTCTATTAAAAGTCCACTTTCCGATGTTATACCTTACATAATTTTTAGTCATTTTTTCAAAACATCTGCATTCTCTGGAGAAGAAAAAAATACTTTTTACAATTCCGTCGTTTAATTATATAGGAATAATCAGGGATTATTCCGTGGTTGTTTTCTAACCTTCAGCTCATTATTGTTTTGTTTTTCATAGGTATCACGTTGCTGTGGCCTAAAAATAACTTCTGAAGGATATGTTGTGACACTCGCTAAAAATAATCATCATGTTTTGGTGCTTAACACCCTGTACGTTCAGTGATTGCAAAAAAAGAAAACTCTCAATACGAGATCTGATTTGTTAAACTTTGGAAAAACTGCAACTGTAAGTAGACCACACCAGCAGCATCAACATCAAAATCCGCAGTCGCAGTCGCAGTCGCAGACGCAACCACAACATCATCATCATCAACAGCAACAGCAGTTGCGTTCCGTTTTTCCTACAATGCATGGCAATCATGGCATTAGTAACACATCATCAGCGGTCACAGTCCCAACGGATCCGAAAGTACCAACAACAGCAGCATCAGTATCAACAAACGCAGCACTAAATTTCAATATGCCTTTAATTAGCAAGCATCAGCTTTATAAAATTAATACTGAAAATAGTGATAATGGTGAACAAAAAAAATTACAACTTATAGATTATGATGAAATTTAAGGCAATAATATTTTTGTATTATTTTCATTTTCATGAAAACCAACAAAGAAAGAATAACTAAAACAAAATTACACCCACATAAAAATATTTAATGATAAAACAACGCCTCCAAAGATACGACGAAATTCTGAATTTACGCCGCCAAAAGCCAAAAAGAATCGTAAAATCAATATAATTTATTTTTTTTACACCTCTTCGTACCACTTACTACTACTATTACTACTACTTCTAATATTTTATTATAAATTATTATATTCTACATCGTTTTACACTTTACAATTTTTAATGTAGTTAAACAAACAAACAACAAACAAACAAATTAAAACAAAACAAAAGGCCGTTTTTATATACAAAACAAATATTTTAGCTTATATGAGAGATTTTTTAAATATATATGTAATATTTTAAATAGTTTCCTTCCTTTTTCTACAACACTTAAGAGACTTTCTAATGAGGAGGAGTGAAAAGGCTAATTTTTCTAGAGTATACATAAAGATTTATTTTTGTATACATAGAAAATTGCCCTTTTGAACATGAAAAACATGAATTTATAACTCCCAATGAATTAATGAAGGAAAACATGTCTGATTTAAAAAAAGTTGATTCTTTTCGAAACAAATCTCAAATCCACATACATACAAATATAATATTTTGATCTCTTTCTATTCAATTTTATGTTTTTTAATTGCCAAAAACCAAACATGAATCATAATTACAATGTAGAAAAATGAATGAAATTTTGAAAAGTAAATAACATATTTTTATTTCACCTTTGCAAAATAAAAAAAAAAAAAAAACAAAACGGAAATAGAAAACAAGTTGCAATGGTTTACAAAAAAAAAAACTAATCACAATTTATACAAAAGAACTATTACAACCATAACAACTTAAATGAATATTGTTACATAAATTACATTATTTTTATTATTTTTGTTACGTTTTCTTTTTATTTTAAATCAACTACAAAACAATAAAATGTATTTACAAAACGTCGATGGGAGCATAAGTATATAAGGCATACTTTTGTTTCCATTGAAATTGTATTTCACGTTTTTATTTACAAACAAAACAAAAAGAAAAGAAAAAACATATTCCTTTTTACATACAATTAAATTAATTTCCCCACGTTATTTTTTTTTAATAAGGCTGGTTTTCCAAGACATTATTTTACATAATTTACTCAATCACCTTTGTGTGTTATATATATATATCTATAAATATATTTTTTTTTAATAACATTGTTAACTCTTTTAAATTATTAATTAATTACATATACAAACTATTTACATTTACAAGAACAAAAACAAATATGTTTTAGTATATATGTTATATTAAATACACTGTAACACGAAACAAATTTTAAACTTGAAACAAAAGAAAAATAATCCTATAATTTTTATTATAAAATGTTTAATTTAATTTTGATTTAACTTTGTGTTTCAAATACTTTCTTGTCATTTTTTGTATTTAATTTTATTTTACTTTTTATATTTATTTTTTTGTTTTCTTTTTTATTAGAGAGAAAAAATATATGATTTTCAAATGTATTTTTTATATATTGTTTTCAAGATTTCTAGCTGTTCTTATGTAAAACATAAAAGTTAAAAAACGAAGAAAGATAACAAAAAAGATTGGAATAAGAAAAAAAAAACAAAAAAAAAAAAAGAAAAAGAAATTATCATATATTGTGCGTGAGGCTGTAGTTTTAATTGAAAAAAAAAAAAAAAAAACAATACCAATCATACCTTTATACTACTATATAAGCATTAACAACGATTACAAGAATTACCCAAAAGCAATCCTTTATAAAAATACATATTTAATTTTAAGTAGTACCAAATGTAGAGTTTCTCTTCGAAAACACTCACACATCAGACTTATTCAAATTTCAAACCGTCATTGACAAAAACCAAACTGTATAAGATATTTTTGTAAACATATTTTTTAAGTATACACACATATGTATTTTGTTGTCGTTTTTCAGTGCAAAAACAGTCCCACAAGAAAGTGTTTAGTCTCTCTCCGCAAAAGGCAATTTGAATACACATACATATGTAATGTTTGGCTGTTTAGAGGATTTAGCGTTCTTTTATAACTTTATTTTCTTAATGTAACATCGTTTTTCGTTCGTTCGTTTTTTTTTCTCTTTTATTTTTTGATCGAAAGTCCGGATGAGCCTGTGTGCTCTCGTCCCGATTTCCGCTAATTTCGTCTTGTTTGTGTTTTCCTTAAGAGCATTTTTCTAGCTATAATAACACATTTATTGTATACAAAAATTGAATTGATGCAATTTTTTTGTCGAGTTTAATTAGAAAGTATATACATACAATACGTTTTACATGCTCATTATTTTATAAACAAATATTTTTTTGTTTTAAAGTAACGAAATATATTGCAAAAAAAAAAAGATAATACCCACAAAAAAAAAATTAAAAAAAAAAAACAAATGTAATTCCATAAGCTTTTACTTTTTATTGAAATATTTTTTGTTGTAAGTTTTTTAAATCTATTTACAAGGTTTTGTTAAACAAAACTTAAAAAGTCTACAAAAGATTATTTTTCTTTTTTTTTAATTAAAGTTTTTTTTTTTAATTATTATTACTTTTATACACACACAGACATATGTAGGCATAGTAGGTGTTACAACATGTTGTGGAACTAGTTATAGGGCTATGTTTCCTGCATCATAGAGGTTTTACAACTGATTGCCAACACATCCCCATTTCAACGCATATACAAACAACTGACATTTGATATTATTAATAGAGTGTTTTAGATTAGAAAATGAATTTATGTTGTATTTTTTCTTGTTATAGTTTATTTCCAATAATCCGCTTAAATTAATGATATTAAAAAAAGAATATAATTGTTTAAGTCAGTTATTTTATTTTTTTTTTGTATTTGTAACTAAGACGCCCTCTTAGCGTTTTCCTTACATTTTAACTTTAAGTCAAGACGTACAGTAGTGCAGAAAGACTAAATACATTTTCGCTATATTATAATTGTTTAAAAAAAAACACGCAGGTTGTATTAAATTAAAACCAAATGCATTTTACGAAGTACTCCAATATTTTTTATTATTATTTTATAAGTATTTGTTTACAATATTTTAGTAGAGAAAACCTTCAAATTGCCTTTTTTAGACTTTTGTTTTCAAAAATATGTCGTCTACCAAATTATTTTTATTGGCCATATAAATGTTTTATAACAACTATGTATTTTTATACATACACTCCATTAATACATGATATGATGCAACACTAGTCATATACATATGTCTATTAACATGTGTATATTTTTAAACTATATAATTTTATTGACCCACTACTATTGTTTACCTCTATCTTTTTATTAATAAATCTACACTACTGTACGCTTCTGTTTTACACGCTTAAAAAATTAACTAGATAAAGATAGAGAGAGAAAGAGAGAATATGTTGTTATTGTTAACGTTTTCCACCTTCTTTTATGTTTCTTATTTAATTTAATTTTATTTTAATTTTATTTCTTTAGTTTTTTTTTTTATTATTATTATCTTCGAATTATTAATTCAAAGCATTATTTTTAATTATTATTTTTGTGATTTTTAAACTATACACCTATAAATTTTCAATAAAACTTAATTAAAGCGTTTTTATCTATATATTTATATGTGTATGTATATGGTTTTTGAAAGTGAAAAAGAAAAAAAAACTGCACAGAAATCAACTACTAAAAATATTTCAGCAATAATATAGAAAAATATTTCAGCAACGTTATTCCGGTTCCGGTAAAATGCACGATGCGATTCAAAAACGGTTTGAACAACTAAAAAATAGTATAATTCAAAATCTACTTGGTGGTGAAAAAGAAATATTTTTATTGCATTCGCACTTTTCCGATTTCGTACTTTCAAAATGGAAATCGCATTGTTTTTGTTTTTTCACGTGGAGTATTTGGGTACACAAATATTTTTAGTTCGACGGCAAATGAATTGAAGACGTTCAACTGAAGTATGTTAATTTTGTTCATAATTTGGTTTGTTTATCCCTTTACACGAATAAGCAAATCAACAATCTCGGTACAATAACATGAATGGTAGTGATTCTGTTTTTTTTTAATTTTCTTTTTAATAAAAATAGGGCTCAATTTGTAAAACGATAAAGTAATTTCAACACGTACACACACATATAAAGGTAATACTAATCTCCCCTTGACTTGCTTATGAAGAAATGTGAGGTTAGAAAAGTATATGTATTTCACGAATCCAAAGTTTTTTTATGTTGTATTGTATTTAACATATTTTAAATTAATATAAATAAATTTACCTACATTTTACATATATATTTATGTATAAAACAAATATATACATATATGTATGAGAAATATACATATGTTTATAAACGACCTTTAAATGTACATCATGTATATGGGTAAAACAAAATGAAATAACAATCTAGTATATGTCAATTTTTGATGATATTTTACGCCTTATGAAAATTATTAAAACATATATATTAAATAAAATAAAAAAACAAAAGATAAACAAACAAACCAAATTCCCCCCAATATTTGCAATAACGTTTTAGGAACACTTATACAAATCCAGTTATAAACCATTAATGTAATATTAGTAATGATTAAGAATGATTTAAGCTAAACACTTTTATTTTTTATATTCAGCTAAAAATTGAACATGAAACGAAATATGAAAATCAAAAACAACATTGGTAAATGCATTCACAACAAGAACCATAAAGGATAATATATATATATGTATGAGTGATGAATTTTCAATTAATAAATAGCAGGCCGAATCAAAAATAAAATGAAACAAACAACATCCTAATACATCAAACATTCAGAATTAAAGTTTTAAAACAACACAATAGTTGACGAAGTCGTTAAAATAATCGTAATGTTCATAAAACCAATTGATAAATAAATATATACAAAAAAAAAAAAACAATTTCAAATTAAAAAAAAAAAACAACAAAAAATGCGTATATAAAGACACCAACAACACACGTACGTATTTTGTATTTATATGGCGCCTAAAATGTTTGAATATAAATTGTATTCTCTATCTCTATTCTCTTAGCATATACATATATACAAATGTAAACTTAATTATAACAACACAGCAAATTGCTTTACCTGGTGGTGTATAAGTTCCTCAAATACAAAATTTTATAATTAATTTGTTATGATTTGAATTTATTTTTCACTGTTGTGTTCGAACTGTTTTTTTTTTAATTTTATTTGGGCTCGAAACCTAATATTTTATCTAATTTGTATTTATTTACTTTCTTTATTTCAATAAAGTTTTTATTCAAATGTATACACAATATGATTTTCTTTGTTTTGTTTACCATTACCATTTTAACCCTGTGCAAGACGCAAAGAAATGACTAAATTTTATTGAAGTTACCATATTCCACATACGAATGTTGTGTACATAAATGTAACACAGTATGATTAAAAAGGAATAATGTATTCCCAAAGGAATATATTCTTTCCAGATTTTATTCTTTAAAGCTTGTAATGCATTGCACAGGGTAATTAAACGATTTTCGCACTACTGGACGGTAGAGAAACCATTTCTCACTTTTTTTGTCATCAATGGCTTAAATGATCGATAGTGACATGTTTCACTTTGTGTTTCAAAAACTAACCAATTAACGGAAGGGATATGTCAAAGGATAAAAAGTAAACAACATATCAAACATAAAACAGCGAATATTTTTTAGTCATGTCATACTATGGTTCTCTTTATGTTGTGTTTCATTCAACAAAAAAACAAAAAAAAAAAAGAAGAAGAAATCCAGTAATAATAAAAACTGTAGCAGTGCCATTAAAGACAACTACTCATATAATTAATTCGACATTCCTAAGAAACAAAAAAACAAACTAAATATACATTTTATATAACATAAACTACACCCATGGAAATGAGACAGTTTATTTTTTTAAATCATTTAACGTTAAGAGGACAAACAAAAACAATAACAATAATAATAATTTTAAACTTACACTACTCGAAATCATGAAGTATTGTAAATCTGAAACAACAGCAACAAATGAAAGAACAACCAAACCACATTCTTCCTATATTTTCTCAGTGTCCACAATATACATACATACATAAATACTTAATAAATAATAATAAATTATAATTAGTTATATGAATGCGGTATGTATGTAGTGTAGTCTGCAAACGGAAACATGTATAACTATATTGTGTTTTGTTTCCTCTCTACATATAAAAAAAAATAAAATAAAATAAATTCTGCAACATGAAATGAAAAAGTAAAAATCACAAACGTTGGACAGGCTCTAATCTTGTTCGGCTTCGGTATGCTATCCCTAACATATAGCTCAGTGAATTTGACGAGAAAAAAAATAATTAGCTGTACTCTCTGAAAACAATTCTAAGCTGGGTTAATTCTGGGTATATATGTATACTTAAAGTCAAATATCGAAGACGACCTACATTCAAGCCTACCTGACAAACTTTATAGGTTGTTACTATATGTATATTTCAAAAAAAAAAAAAGACAAAATCTTGTATCGAAACTATTTTTTTGTTTATATAGAATTTTAATATTATCCATAAGTAAAGGCAAACAAAAAATGCAATTCTTGATAGATGGGTCTGGTATCAGAAAATATCTATATCAATGCCCGTTAATTCAATATTAGATATGGGAGAACGCAACGAACAACAAGCAAGAGACGACAACCATTGTCTATTAGCCTGCTATATGTATATTGTTCGATACAGATCTTGGCCGCTATCGTCATATAACACAAATAAAAAGTGATGCTGTCCGTTTTCTTTGACAATGTGTACAAAACATCCTAAAAAATATCGTAACTAGATCTATATTTTTGTTTGTTTTTTTCTAAGCCACAAAAAAAAAAAATAAAAAAAATGAGGCCTGTCTATTTCTTATATAATGATGCTAAACAAAAAGAAGGAAAACAAAAACAAGAAACAATTTACAATAGCATATACGACCTAATACATATTTATTAGTATATATATACATAGATAATAATTAGAATAAAATAATATTATCTACATTTGTTCCAAGACAAAAAAAAAAAAACGACAACAAGAAAACCCAAAGACCAATATTAAATGTATTTTATTTATTTTCACAATGAATGAAAAATTGTAATAATCAAAAATATACACACACATAAAAATGATAACACATACATAAACAATTAATAACATATTAAATGAGGTGTAAGAAAAATATCCTTATCCACGAAAATATGCAATTTACGAATGTATATGAAATGTATTACAAAGAAAAAGACGAATGTATATGAATTATCTCTGAATACTCAGCTTCAGAGCTAAGTAGACGAGAAGAATCTAGTAGTAATAAGTAAATCCAACAACAATTTCATGACAGGGCCTAACAAAAAAAAAATCGTTTTGAAAAAGCAATAACACTTGATACGGTTTTTAAAACATTTATTTAAACACAAGACAATGTTAATATAATTTCAATGCAATTGTTTATTATTTACAAATACATATACATATATACATAAATTTATATATATACACACACATATTTATATCCATTAACTTCTTATATACAAACTATTTAAGCAAAATGAGAGAGTTAAGTAAGAGAAGACATGTTGTGACATTGTATTGTAAAAATTGCCAACTTTATTTTAACAAAAATCAAAGACATATTTTTTTTGAAAATCAACAAATCGACTACTATTTATTATTAAAATTATGAAATATTAAAACTAAAATCACAAAAAAAAAATGTTTATATACAAATACAAATATATACACACTCTGATCTTTGAAAGGACTCTACTTCCATGATAAAAGAAACAAAACAAAAAAAAAACTTTCAATGATATATGTTAAAAAAATAACTAGAAAATAATGCCGCATAAGTCTATGCGTTTATAGAAAAAATGCTTTAAACCAACCTAAAAATGCAGATACCGAGAGAGACCAAGACCTCGTTGCATTATCAAAAAATAGTAATAATAATCGAATTATGCTAAAAATTATTACTACTGTTAAACAATCTGGGCCAAAATTCCATGTCAGTTCAATTTCCCAGTCACAAGACACAAGACACAGTTTAATGGACCGACTTTCTTTTTATTTTAAGAAAATTGGATGTTTGCAGTACCCCGTTTCTGATATAATAAAGATTTTATTTCATTTATTTCAAAAATGTCATTCTCATATACGTTCCCATGTGGTAAAATATTATTTTCATTCCAGCTGAATTTCATAGTAGTCAGAGTAATTTTCTATATTATGTAAACAAATGCATTAACATATGATCCTCTAACATTAAAAAAAAAAAACATTGTTTTGATAAAAAAAAATGAATATACAATGAAAAAGTTCGAAATAGGGTACTTCAAACATGTTTCTGTCAATGGCATATCTAAGGCATAATTGTGTTTTGATATTCAAACGCCAGTCAAATCACAATGGTAAAAAAACTACTAAGTTCATTGCCAAGTTGTTGTCAAAGGTAGTTTTCTTGGTCGACCTTATATAGGCCATGGTTCTGTCAAAATGTAACTAAGTGACCAAGTGTAACAATTTGATATTCTATTCTTTGGGTTTTGTAGAGAGCTTAGGATTAATGAAGACTTTATTAGAATAAAAAATTGAAAAATATCAAAATCGTGGACTGCCGTTCTGAAAACTTTTACTTTTACAAAAAACAAAGAATAAAAGAGCTGCCACCAATACCTTGTTAAATATTTTAAATACCCAGCAACATGAACCGAATAGCATATTACACGGCAATGTATGTAAACAAATTAACTTTGGCTTTACTATCAGGTTAAAAATAATGGATTATTACTATAAAAAGTCACACACAGCAAAATACCTTGTTTTCCTCATTACCAAGTAATGTCTAAGGGCAGTACGTGTCCGACCACAAATTTACTTGGAAACTAAAGGTGAGAATACATAAAAGTCTCTTTTGACTGGCTTAAGTCATCGGCTGGCTTTTTCGGAAAAAACGAAGTCAACCTAAAACTCCTTTGTTCCTCTACGAAGAAGCACACCGATGACTTAAGACAGCAGTCAAAAAAAGCCTTTTATGTGCTCTCACCTTAAGTAGTATGGGCATTAGCTTCAGATTCAAATATGAGGGATGAACATATCCAAAAAATTGCTATCTTATTCAAACTGAAAATCATTTGCTGTTTTTTGTCTACTGGGTGTTCAGCTAACTATATCCCAAAAACCGAGTGTAAATTAAACTGACCGAGTGTAAATTAAACTATTCATGTGGGAGATAGTTTCTTGCATAAATTCGATAATTTTATCTATAAAAATTACCAATAAAGAAAATGAATTAAGTAGAAATGTCCAATCAAAATTGAATATAAAATGAAGAAAACCATAAACTTAAGATAGAGTTCCGTGTGTTAGTTTTGTGTTGTGTTAAATGTTTAATGTTTCATATTAATAAGAGTAAAATTAAAATCCCAACACATTTCTAATTAATTCATTTTTGTGAAAAAAAAAATTATAATGAATAAAAGCTGCCTCAATTTAAATAAAAAACAAACAAAAAAAGAAAAACCAATATAAACAAAAAATTATAATAGACACATATACATACATATATTTAGCCATTTTTTGGCATCATATATAATATATATAAAGAAAAAAATGAACAGTTTTTTCGAAAACATTAAACAAACACCAATAACATACAACTTTATTCTCCAATTCTTAAATTTTAACAAACCAAAAACTATTTACAGAACAAAGTAAGAACATTTGTGTAGTTAATTAAAAAAAAAAAAACAAAAAATACAAACTAAAAAGAATAATGATAATATTACCACTAAAAACATTTTGCTGACTGTATTCCTTAGGCTTTTTACACCATTTATTGTAATACATATGCGTATATATACGATCTATACATATACTTATATGTATATTTGTATCTGTATATACTATATATGTACATGTAAGTCAAATCTGAATTTTACATATTTATAAGTCAACAAATCCTGCAAATTTATACATATTTTATTATGATTATTACTATACCAAGTGACAAACCAACAAATAAAAGACAAATATTATCGAATTGAATTACAAATATTTAAACAAAACGAAACAAAGCAAGATTGATTATCCCGTATTTTATAATTTGACGTTTTTATTTTATTTTTTGGTTGAGATATTTGGTTATTCCCACCTGTGATAGAGAATTTGATTTTTTGGTTAAAATTTGTAGATTTTTTGTACAAGGCTAAAACTATACAACATTTATTATTATTAGTTATACTCATTTTATTGCCCAGTTGACAA